TATCTTGAAAAGTTTGATCTGTATATCAGATTATAGGTTGAGTTTCTTCAAAGAGTCCATTAACACAGTAAATTCAAGAAAGTACTGAAATTTGTATATACAAGCTAAAAATAAAAAAAATTAATTTAGAAATGAAATGATTTAATTTCCTTTCATGTTATTTCAGCAATGTTTCAATCCATGGAGTAAAACGTGATGCTTAGTATGTTTTTACTTATCTTGGATTTTTTACTGAACATTCTTTATAAGTTTATCATTCTATAAAAAAAATATAATTTTGGAAGAAAATCGGGGATCTTACTTGCATAAGCTACGAAAAGGAACTATCTGAGTTATGACGTCACTTCCTATCATTCAACAGAAGACAAAGGAAATAATGAGAACAACAACAGCAAGAAAGGTGCCTAATAAAAATGGAAGTTCAAGCTAATTCCGTGTCTACATCAACACTTGCTGACCAGTGTTTAATTACTTGCTTACAAAAATCCAGCAAATGAATTTATTTCGGAAATTAAAAATACTATGTAAACTCACATATCCAGTTGTACCAAAATTATTTAAACACTTATGTTATAGAATGTAACTTAAGATTTATAGAATAAAGGACATTTTTATACATATTGCAATCACCTTCACCGAGAAAAAACAACAACAACAAAAACACAACAGTAACAGGCTGTTATACTCCAGCTTTAATCGAGTTACACCTAAAAACATCAATATTTAACGGCAAAATCCAGAATTGTAACGAATAAGTACAATAGATATTCATTGACAAGTCAAAAGTTTTACTTGCTTTGTATTTTGTTCGTTTATAGCTAAGCACAAAACTACACAAAGGACTATCTGTACTCTGCCCACCACTGGTATCGAAACTCGATTTCTAGCGTTGTAAATATGCATACATGCCGCTGTGCCACTGGGGGGGGGGCGCTTGCTTCTGTTTTGAGAGGCAAAAATATACCAATTGTAAGTTGTTAGTACTAAAAATTAGCGCATGCGTACTCGAGACACTTTCTACCCAATTGCAGAATAGGTGGAAATGACGTACTGGCGAATTGCAATTGACATTAGGTTTGCATGTTAATTAAAACTAACATCTGCGATGAAGTGACGTGGGATTATGTACAATAGAAACTGTCCGAATATAACAAAGTGCTAGACAAGACATGATAACTTTATGGCCGAGACATGTTTGTACCAAAAAATACAAACCTACTGTAATTTGGACGAGGTTGGTTTTGTTTGAATTTCGCGCAAAGCTACACGAGGGCTATTTGCGCTAGCCGTCCCTGATTTAGCAGTGACAGAATAGAGGGAAGGCAGCTAGTCATCACCACCCACCGCCTACTTTTGTACCAACGAATAGTGGGATTGGCCGTAACATTATGACGTCCCCACGGCTGAAAGGGCGAGCATGTTTGGTTGGACGGAGATTCGAATCCGCTACCCTCAGACTGCGAGTCAAGCGCCCTAATCCCCTGGCCATGCCGGGCCAATTTGAACTAGCACGGATATTCTTATTGCAATTAATACTATTAAACATTTGAAATGTTTCACTAATAAATCACAAGCAGATACAGAATGTAGCACTTCTACCATCCATATCCACGTGCAGTGGCGTAGGAAGTGAGAGGAGGAGGGGGTCCGGACCCCCCCTCCCCACTTTTCAACTTGTCCCAGTAACAATGCATCAAAAGTATGAAATTTACTTTCAGGAAAATGCATAAAGTGCAATCCAGAACCAAAGAGCTTCGGGGCCCTGAACTCCGGACATAATGGGTGCTCTCGGTCAAATAAACCTTGAATTCCCCCCACCCCTCTTCACCCTCCTACACCTCTGATGTGTGACACAAAATGTGAACACAAATACTCTCAATATTATTATTTCTCCCACTAATTACTGTGGGGCTCTCTTTCTAGTCGCCTCGAAAATGAGTGAGTTGAACTGATTTTGTGGTCAGTTCTTTACTCCGAGTGTTGTAACATGTAAAAACGTAAAGTTACCCAGTATGTGGAAGACAGCTAATATTGAACGGTATAAAAACAAGTCAGTAACGTGAGGGTTAAGGTCGACCTCACGTTACTGACTTGTTTAAAATTACGCGTCTCATATATTTTGAAAATTTCAATCTTCCTGGACACTCCTACTCACGCGAGGTTTAAGAACACATGGTTTCTTTATTTGTCAGTCTTTCCATCATTTTTGTATCGATCTTTCAGGAAAATGCATAAAGTTCAATCCAGAACCAAAGAGCTTTACGTTTTTTTTTTTTTTTTACTGTCCGTTTACTGTCTGCTATGTATAAAACTTATATTGGTCAGGCAGACTGTCAATCTTCCTGGTTCTCCAAAATTTCTGAGCTTGGTGAGCTAAACCAGGGCTTTCAACTGGGCTAATGGTTCACCCAAGAGTGAATGAGACCAGAATCATGATGAATGAGATCAGAATGATGGGATGAATAGCAGGTTGAATGAGTATTATCAATTATACAACAAATTCAAGAGCAAAAAAATCATTAGTTACTATTATTTATTCTAGTTGTAGTTTGATAAATACATTTATGTTTTGTTTATTTTATGCTGTAATCATTCCAGTTGTAGTTTGATAAATACATTTATGTTTTGTTTATTTTATGTTGTAATCATTCCAGTTGTAGTTTGATAAATACATTTATGTTTTGTTTATTTTATGTTGTATTCATTCCAGTTGTAGTTTGATAAATACATTTATGTTTTGTTTATTCTATGTTGTAATCATTCCAGTTGTAGTTTGATAAATACATTTATGTTTTGTTTATTTTATGTTGTAATCATTCCAGTTGTAGTTTGATAAATACATTTATTTTTGTATATTCTATGTTGTATTCATTCCAGTTGTAGTTTGATAAATACATTTATTTTTGGTTTATTTTATGCTGTAATTATTCCAGTTGTAGTTTGATAAATACATTTATGTTTTGTTTATTTTATGTTGTAATCATTCCAGTTGTAGTTTGATAAATACATTTATTTTTGGTTTATTTTATGTTGTATTCATTCCAGTTGTAGTTTGATAAATACATTTATGTTTTGTTTATTTTATGTTGTAATCATTCCAGTTGTAGTTTGATAAATACATTTATTTTTGGTTTATTTTATGTTGTATTCATTCCAGTTGTAGTTTGATAAATACATTTATTTTTGTATATTTTATATTGTATTTACTCTATTTGTAGTCTGATGTATATTTAAGTAATAATAAAAAAATTTGCATTTTAATTTAGTACTTTTTTATCTTTATTTTTCTAACTGGGGTGAGTGAGCTGTTGTAATAAACTTATAGGGTTGAATGATATTGGAAAAGGTTGAGAAGCACTGGGCTAAACAATGGATAAATATTTTAGTTTTGTTATGTATTGAATTTATGTCAGTATACACTTCTAGTCTGTTCGATATTAACAATTGGCTTCCTTAATTTATAAGTTATATTCTACTGGTTCTGATTTATGAAGTATACTTTAATCATGAAGTTTTGTGAATTTTTTTAGGTGACACTTTTTTTAAAAGCGTTTTCTGCGTAAAAATAAAACATTTAAGAAGTTACACTGTAATCGACACGATTTCTGCATAATTACAAAAAATAAAATAAAATGTAATTGAAGTCTAAAATTTGTAATTTAAGCTCCAACGAGCACCATAATTAACGCATTTAAAGTATTTCGACTATTAGTGAACCTCGACATCTTTTCAATGAGATCATTGACTGAAATAAACAACTCATATAAAAAAATAATAAAAATTCTACTGTGGCACGTGTGCACAACAAGCCTTCTTATATATACAGGGTGACGCAAAATTCGCGAGCCACCCTGAGTTTTTTACGTCCTGCCCTTGCAGATATTCGATACGTTCCGTTGACATTACAATGCAATGTCACAACATGTTCTTGTAGGGTTAATTACATGCCATTCAGGTAGGTATTGTAACAAGAAGAAGAGACATTGAAACGTAAATATGACTTAAACATTGCCACTAACTTCTGATCAAATCAAGCTTCCTACACAGATCAATACAACAAATTAGCCCAGTAATGACTACATAAATGATTAGAATACATTGATTTATTATTTGAGCGCACTCGTTGTTAGCTGTATTTTCGGGCATAATCCTAATAGTATCTCACGAGGTTCGGATACCTAAGGAGACTCAGGTTAGCCCTAAATCCGTATACATCGCTAACAATGCAAAAACTATCCTCATAGCCCCCTTGTGGCACAGTGGTATGTCTGCGGACTTATACTACTAGAAACCGGGTTTTGATACCCGTGGTGGGCAGAGCACAGATAGCCCATTGTCTATATATATTATAAACAGTTACAGCAATACGTACAAATACAAACTGATAACTGAAATGAACACGTACAATAATTAAAACCTGACGTAATAATACAAATGTTACACGTTATCGCATGCACACCGCTGAACACTTTCTAACGAAACAGGTACACTAGATAAAACACCATTTAACATTACGCTCTCGGCCAAATTTAATAGCTTCCTCGATGGTGAATTCAAAGAGTCTCTCCTGATTGAATCAAATAAATCCAAAATATACAGAAATAATTCTTAGCCTTTGTAATTATTATTATTATTATATTTGATAATTTGCGATTTTTTGTCGCATAGACACTCGAATTCCTTTTAACATGCTCGCGATAACCCGTGGCATTTCTATTGTTAAGTTAGTTTTAATTGTTTTATATATGTTCTCTTCAGTTATCAGTTTGTATCTGTACACGTAAACGTTGTAATCCTTGAGAAAGGCGTAAGCCAAAACGTCGAGTTTGAATAAAATGGGTTTTTGTTTTTTTGCAATCATGGTTTCGATCCTACAGTCTGCTCTGCAAAGTTTAAAAACTGTTACGTATATAATGTAATAAACTTTTGCCCTGTATGTATTTATATGCATATATATATATATATATATAATACGTTAAAATATCTCGTAATTAACTTACCAAAGTCTGCTGAGCAAAAGTGTGCTTGGGGGTGAGACATCTTGCAAGAACAACCGTCACACACGTTCCGTGCAAGGAGAAGCGAAGTCACTCCAACCAAAAACCAAAAACAGAGATGACTGGTTACCATGGTAACTCCTGGTTTGTTGATTAGCTAATAAATAAGAAATAATACGAAGTTACAATCGGTCGTTATAAGTACGAGGAAATAGCAGATTAGCATTTAGGGTTTAATTTTGATTCTGTAATAAATTAAAAAATAACACGGACTTTTCTCTACGTTAAAATAGTTTTATTTGAGAGCTCTTGTCCCTTGTCCCACCGGTAGGTCTACGGATTTGCAACTCTAAAAATCAGGGGTTTGATTCCACTTGGTGGACACAGCAGAAAGCCTGATTTGGCTTTGCTATAAAACACACACATACTTTGGGTTCGTTTACGGGAGCCTTCTTAGGGCAACAGTGTACTTCCACTGCAAGTTTGAGATTTGTCAGAGATTGAAAACTCGAAAAAAATATTTATAATATTTTTGCCCGCCCGAAGATATAATCGCATTTAATTGCAATTTATACTGGGCGAGACCTTTAAATATCCTTCCCACCCCCTTCAGTGCGGAATCGCGCACGAACAGTCAGGCATTTTAAGTAAGAAAACTGGATTCCGATTGCGACACGAGGTTCTTCTTTCAGTTCTTCTTTGGTTATGGTATATGGCTGTACTCGAGTGTGTTCCGGTTTTTCGTTGTTAGCAAGCACGAGATACAATATTCAAGGTCGCTTCATCTTTTCACGTGTCTCCTATAGCTGTGGAGCAGTTACACCCCCAGATATTATCTATTCATTCTGCCATCCAGCCATGTTAGGCCTATTCAGTCGGATTTATCATATGCACAAATAGGATAAAACCATATCTGTGTTATAAACATAACATGATAAAAGTTGTTTTTGTTGCCCTTGTGTTCATATTGCAAACCACAAAGAAAATGTTGTTTGTTATTTTTTTTTACCATGTGGCAATGGGAAATAGTAATAATTTATTTATGTATATATATATATTTGCTATTTAACAATATATAAAGTACTTAATAAATACAAACATGTAACATGTTCTGTTGTATTGCGATGTCATGCTGATTCCTGCAAAGTTAAGGTTTGAATAGTTGATGGAAGGAAAACGTCGTTCAGAGTACTATATACGTTAATAAGGTAAACGATGGGGTGGCATTGTGAAACCGAGATTCTATGTTTCGTGACCTGTTTCCGGGAAAAAAAAGAATGTTTGTTTGTAATGAAGCACAAAGCTACAAAATGGGCTATATGTGCTCTGCCCACCACGGGTATCGAAAACCGGTTTCTAGCGTTGTAAGTCCGCAAACATGCCGCTGTGCCACTGTGGGGGCCAAAAAAAAAAGAGCAAACGAAAATTAAGAGCTCTGCACCATGGGGTCGCGAGTGCACTATAAAAGAGACTATTAAACCTCATTATTGTTTAAGACAAGGGTAGTAGAATAACTCGTTGTTAATGATATTAACTGTCTTCACGTACATATACGTGTAACTAAGATGAATAAAGTAAAAACTACTTACAGAAGGTTGTGTCAACCCAAAGATACGAAGATTTGATGTTCGAAAGTGAATGTAATGTCTACATGAAAAATCTCAAGGAAATAAATTTGAATAGTTTTCTTAGAATAAATTATTGTTTTAAGTAAGGAATTTAAGCTGCTAAATTAGGGACTAGGCCTAGTTAAACCCGCAAACAAGAACCTGTAGAACTTATTCAACTAGGCCTAGTTAAACTCGCAAACAAGAACCTGTAGAACTTATTCAACTAGGCCTAGTTATACTCGCAAGCAACAACCAGTGACACTCATTCAACTAAGCCTAATTAAACTTGCAAAAAAGAACCAGTAGAACTTAATCAACTAGACATAGTTAAGCTCACAAACAAGAACCTGTAGAACGTATTCAACTAGGCCTAGTTATACTCACAAGCAACAACCAGTGGTACTCATTCAACTAAGCCTAGTTAAACTCGCTAAAAAGAACCAGTATAACTTAATCAACTAGGTCTAGTTAAACTCGCAAACAACAGCAAGTGGTACTCATTCAACTAGGCCTAGTTAAACTCGTAAAAAGAACCAGTAAAACTTAATCAACTAGGCCTATTTAGATTCAGAAATTACTGTCACTAACGCTGATCAGACTGACGTAACTGATTTGGATTACCTTCACACGCACACAACTCATGTTTGGGCATGCTTAAACCACTCACGCTAGGGTTATCAGTGAAGTAACCAGAGTTACGTGGGGAGACCAACTTGAAGAAAGCATTTTCTGGCTTAACTGGCTCACGAGAGCAGCGTCCCTTTGGGAAACGTCCCGATATCTCGGTAGGCTAGTACTCTGCTGATTAGGCTGACTAGATCTTGCATAAGCAGCTTTTGGTTAAATCAGTGACGTCTGGCTCACTGCTTGTTGTTTATATCCCATTACACAATCAATATAATGCACAAAAATCATGTTTCACCCTGTACTTAAGCTTTTTAAAGGAATACCAGATTTCTGTCAAAAAAAGTAACTTCAAGGGGTAATGATAACATTGTTTACACTAGAAACATGACCACTGGTTTAACCAAAAACTGGTTATGCAATATTTAGTCAGCCTAATCAGCAGCGTACTAGCCTACCGAGAGATCGGGACATTTCCTAGAGGGACACTGTCCCCATGGGCCAATTAAATCAGAAAATGCATCCGTCAAGTTCTATTTGCTTACTGCCCAAAATATACTTCAAATATTTTCTAATCAGGTGGTTAGGGGCGCTCGACTCGCAATTTGCGGATCACGGGTTCATATTCTCGTCACACCAAACATACTCGCCCTTTCAGTCCGTTGGGGGCATTATAATGTGACGTTGG